ATTCATCCCGGTGATTTTGCGTAGCGAACTTATCGATTGTGACTCTCCCAGGATCATACTCGAGGATCATCAGGTGGATGGGAAGGGGTGCCGTAGAGACTGAATAAGAATGTTGTTCAGAACTCTCCAATCGAACTGTTGTTGATCAGCTTGTGGACTGCAAGGAGTGTCTTGTGATTTGAAGATCAATGAGGATCTTCAGGCAAATTGGAATGAGTGTTAAATGAATATGAACTGTTATATTCACTCTCTCATATCCAAATATGAACTGTCATATTACTCTCTCTAATATAAATTTTTATTATAGAATTTTAAAATTAAAATTAAATAAAACATATCATACAAACCACAATTTTATATATGTGAATATAAATAATCATAAATGTTATTGTTATTCTTAAACTTATAGCATTCATTACAATTGTATTAAAAATTGTTTATATTTTGTTAACTAAATAACTATGTTTCACCTCACATATATATGTTATTTAAATACTTAAAGACATTGTTAGAAAACTTATATATGTATATATAAATATTAATATTTATTGATACGAAAAGAAATGTCACAAATAATTTATAATATTGTTATATCACAAACTATTTTACTAATTAATAATGTCTTCATCTTTATTCTAGAATAATCCTAAACTTTAATTGAAAACTTTAATTAAAAACTCATGATTTGTTATTAAATAATTGTTAATATAGTTACAAATATAACTAATCCGGTTATGCCTATGCGGTACCGGAAATGTACGTTTTATATGTACCTAAATAAAAGATTGTGTGTGTGTGTGGTATCCCTCAGAATACTACGTGTACAGCATTCGACGTAAGGTGCACCAGGGGACCACCGCCTCATACCGTGGATGATGTCCGTGACGTGTATGCGTGTGTAGATAACGCAGTGGATGCAGCTTGGCAAATGGATACCTCAGGCAACCATTAAAGTTAATAGAATTATGTTTCGAAGATAAGGTCCTTTGTCAGTTCATTTTAGTTCCCATTCGACCTGTATTTCTCAAATGCTGCTGTGCTCCTTCCAAATTGTCTCTCCAGAACCGCCAGACTTTGCTCATCCAGCCACATTTAAAGATCAGATCAACGCCGCATCGCTTTATTCGTCCGAGGCAACTTCCCATCGATCCAGCGATCCATGCTCCTAGTCGATGGGACAAGCTGTTTCTTGCCTCGGAATCCCGACGTTCTACCGTTTTCCGACAACGTAACATGGAGGAGGCTTCTTTGACAAAACCAAGGCCTTCTGTTCCAAAATTTGGCTTGTGAATCATCTGAAAAATATCCGAAAAACTTTGTAAGAACCTTTCTCTCAAATAAACGGTTTTCCAAGTAACCGTTCTTGACATCCGCATACGAAATTCCACTATATCGCGTCATTCTAATCGGCCGACACTTTCTCTTTGGAGGAGTTTCTGCTATTTCTCAAAAGTTTGATATCTGGTCGCGACAACCATTGAGACAGTATTTGAAGCCGTTCTTGGTCATGTGAACAAATATTAAATAGAACACNGCTTTATTCGTCCGAGGCAACTTCCCATCGATCCAGCGATCCATGCTCCTAGTCGATGGGACAAGCTGTTTCTTGCCTCGGAATCCCGACGTTCTGGAAAACATCTGGAAATCTGAAAAACATCCGAAAAACTTTGTAAGAACATTTCTCTCAAATAAACGGTTTTCCAAGTAACCGTTCTTGACATCCACATACGAAATTCCACTATATCGCGTCATTCTAATCGGCCGACACTTTCTCTTTGGAGGAGTTTCTGCTATTTCTCAAAAGTTTGATATCTGGTCGCGACAACCATTGAGACAGTATTTGAAGCCGTTCTTGGTCATGTGAACAAATATTAAATAGAACACGACCCCTTATTTCGGTACAAACTAACGCCATCTTTGGATCACGACTCTGTATAAAATAGTTAAGTTCCACCTACCAGGTGGAAACGTTTCCACGCTGACTACGTTACCCGGCCGAATCCATTATATCTACAAAGCGGAGCCAAAAATGAGGGGGCGTTTTTAAACTCTTTCCGTCCTTTGGGCACTGACCTCTTGTTAACAAGCCTATTATGGCTTCGGCCAGACCCACAATGTGGCAGCTGGAGTGATAAGGAACGGAGCCCGACATATCCGGACGGACCACTCTCGAAAAATTTCTGGGGATTTTTCGACCCGTCGGAATTCGATCCCGGGTCCCCTAGAACGGTGGGCTAATACCTTGACCGCTCGGTCATCCAGCCACAATGGAGGGACTATCAAGCTTAGCATTTTTAGCGGACCTGGCTTATATAAATTAAACATTTCTGTAATAATGTTGTAAAACAAACTTGGGCAGATAATTTTCATTTTCTGCTCAAGTTTGTTTAACTAACGAGACGAAATCAAGATTATATTCAATCGTGTTTTCTCATGTTTCGCCTCGCTTTTTATCTGTGACACACACACACACACACACACACACCATTATATATATATATATATATATATTGTATATTTATTTATATTGTTTTTGTAATAATTCGTTCTCACCCTCACCTTTCAATAGGCACTGAGAGCCTTTTTTAATCATTCCCATCACGAATTCGAACAGAGCCACAATGAAGACGACCGGTGATGGAGAGCACCTCTTGAACCTCAGGCGGTATCTGGGACAAACCGCCTGTGAAAAATTCTTGGGTTTGCTTACCCGGGTCCTCCGGAACGGTATGCTTATAGTCTTATTGCCTTAGCCATCCGACTGTCAATTTTAAATAATAATGATAATGAGACTTCTGAATTATTAAAGCTGAATCTGTGAATGCTGTTTATGTCTAATAAACTAGAGACGAGCTTTCACAAGTTTTATTAAGAATTTTATTATATTAACATAAAATTATATAAAATTTGAAGAGATAGTTAAAGAAATAAAACGAATGAAAATTGGCTCTGTGATCTTAACAGAAACAAAAAGGAAAGGGTCGGGAATGGAAGAACTGGAAGACTATATGCATATTTACTCTGGCGTACCAAAAGAAGAAAGAGCACAATGTGGTGTATCCATGATGATAAAAAAGAAATTTAAGAGAAATATTAGCAACTTTGAAACAATAGATGAAAGAATGGTGAAAGTTAATCTAAATATTGTTGGAAGACGATTACCATCATTGGAATTGATGCACCAAATAAGGATGAAATCCATGAAGGTAACTACAGCAAGATGCAAGTTAGATGAAACTGGAGAGACAAGAGAAATAATGTTATTGGGTGATTTCAATGCAAGAACAGGATCATTGAGAAATAACAAAATTATTGGACAATTCGGAGAAAATGTAACGAATGACAATGGAAGAAGAAATAATAGACTTTTGTAATACAAATCACTTTAAAGTCAATAACAGGATTTTTAAACATATTCATAAATATACTTGGATTCAACATAGTAGGCAATGGAAATCAATCATTGACTATGTTATTACGAAGCAAAGAGCCCAAATTAAAATTTTACATATCAGAGCACAGAGAGGTGTTACCTGTGGCTCAGACCATTATCTAGTAAGTGCAAAAATCATTATTCCTTAAAGAAGATTAATACAGACACAGAAAGAAGAACGGAAATGGAAGTAATCAAAGATTTTAAATTTAATCTCGAAAGCTTAGCAGACGAAAGCACGAGAAGACAAGATTAGATCAAAAATTGAAAGAAAAAGAATATGATAACACTATAGAATTATACGAAAATATAAAAACAGCACTACATGAAGCAGCAAATGAAGCTCTAGGACAAATCAAAGAACATGAAAAAACTTTTAAAAAATTCTGGTGGGACAAAGAGGTAGAAAACATGATACAGCAAAAAAAGTAACTTACTTAAAATGGAAAGAAGAGAATAGAATAAGATATACAGAACTTAGAAAATCAGCAAAAAAATTAATTTTGTTAAAGAAGAGATTAGGTTGGGATAGAAATTGTAGAGAAATAGAAACATATATAGGAGGAAGAGAAGAAAGAAAATGCACTGAAGCATTGTCGTGCAATAAGGTGATCTTTTTTCTGTTAACAAGTGCAGGACGCTTTTCTTGGTGTTTTAGCCGAAGTTGCTCTAATTGTTGTGCGTATATATTTGCAGTAACAGTTTCATTGCGTGGCAACAATTCAAAAATGGATAATTCTTCGACGATCCCACCATACACAACAAAATTTTTCTTCCATGCATACTGGGCTTGGGGTCCGGTGTGGCTGATCATCTATGTCAACCCATTGTCTTTTTCGAATGACATTTTCGTAAGTGATCCACTTTTCATCTCCCATAACAATTTTAGCCAAAAATAGGTTCCTGTTTTTGCCAAGAAAGCAAGATATCAACCAGCTATCGACCTTCTGTCAGCCTTATTCCGTTCACTCCTGATTACGTTTTAAATGTCCTGATTGATTTCAGTGACGTTTTAAAGGTCCTGATTGAGTAGAATCCATGGCAAACAGAGAAGCTGCACACATCTCAATCAACCATGAATCGTCACTTTCAAAAACTAGGAAAACTAGCCAGCTTGCTCACTTTTCCTAGTTTTTGGAAGTGACGATTCACGGTTGATTGAGATGTGTGCAGCTTCTCTGTTTGCCATGGATTCTACTCAATCAGGACCTTTAAAACGTCATTGTCGAAGTCCGGGAGCGACCTGGTCTTTCTTCATATTTTAAAGACAAATAACCAGAACGAAATTTTGTAAACCACTTTCGAACTGCTCTGTCTGAAATTACTCCACTGCCGTAGACATTGTAAATCTTTTTTGCCGTTTCTGTAGCGTTATTGCCGAGTTTAAACTCCCACAATATGATATGACGTACTGTGCATGGGCCTCCAAATGTTCCATTTTAAATAAATTCAAAAACAATTTTTTATTACATTACTGACACTTAAGTGTTGAAATTTACATTTACAGACTATTTGCTAATAGCCACTAATAAAACTCAGTTGCAGCAACACATCATCTGGCGACAGTCATTTACACCTATCCGCTAACGGAACTTATTTATGACTCAACTCAATATTTTAAAAAATGCAATTATTTTTTACTTAATAGAGAGTATAGTCAGTCAATTTTTCAGATTTAAAAAAATAATAGTTTTTGAAAGTTTGCTGAATAGTAAAATAAATTTTTGCTTACTGATCAATGATAAATTTTTTACTCAATTGAAAAATAATTTTAAAAAATTTAATTACAAAGTTTCCGGTGTAGTTTTAACGATGACTAATTACTACTAATTTTCGAACTCTAATAAAGTAATATAGTATATACAGTATGTAATAGTTGTATGTGATTACATGCAGATTATTATAGCTGGAGACGGATGTTTTCAATACATCCTACCATCATTTCGACGCCACGTTTGATAAAGAAAACTGTCGAGGAAGGACACTCACAATATTTTTCTCTCCGATCAAATAATTGATACCACGTTTTAATTTTTAATGGAGATTATTTTAAACATAATTTTTATTAACTTACTTGTTAATGCAAGCAAGCAGAAACATTAGTCATTGCACAAATAAAACGTAGTGTACTGTACTTTCCGTTTGAAACATGGCGTCGAAATGATGGTAATCTTAAAAACTTAAATATAAAAATCATCCTTAATGTATAGGTCATAATCATATAAGACTATTATATATGTTCTATATTACATGTTCAAAAATATAAGTAGCATTGATTATCCGTATAACTACATTCGGCCCATAAAAATATTTACATTAATCTTTATTGCTAAATTTAGCAATTAAGTATATGTTTATTACTTATTTTTTTCAAATAAGCCTTGCTCAAATGTATGTTAGGAATATACTGTATATGCCTTTAATACATCGTTGGTAAGATATAAATACTAAAACAGTTTTCCTAATTTAAACAAGTTATTATTTATTTATTTCATATTTTTGTATTCATTTTTTTTTTTTGGAATTTATTTACTTAATTATTTTTTCTTTCAAAACTGAAGTAATAGTTCTAACTTCAGTTTTGAATTGTTTAGTATTACAATTTCAAATTTATAAAATCTAATTATATAAGGATATGATTAACTCTAATTGACTCTGTTACTTCACAAATGTGCAGATATTCCACCAGTGACAGCAACGCATTCGCCCGTGATATAAGAAGCATCATCAGAACATAGAAAAGCAGCAACACCTCCGATGTCATCTGGTTCGCCCACTCTTCTCAAAGGAATTCTCAGTTCATCAACTAAATGTTCGTTAGACGTTAATGCTTGACTAAATTTAGTTTTTATAAGTCCAGGAGCAATACAGTTGACCCTGATGTTCATGGGAGCGCAAGTCATTGCCATTGTTTTTGTCAGTCCGAGTAGAGCCGTTTTACTAACAGAATACGAGCCTAGTAGTTCGAAAGGCTGATAACCGCCTATAGACGATATATATACAATCGACCCACCTCCTCTTTTCTCTATTTGTGGCACTACTTCTTTTGTTATCATAAAAGCTGCCACAACATTTACGTCAAAAATCTTTTTCCAAATTTCTTCCGGTGTATCTAAAAAAGCTCCAAAGTAAGGATTGATTCCGGCATTAGAGACTAAGATATCAATGGCCCCTTTTTTATCCAACGCAAACTGTACGAGACGTTTTCTATCTTCTTCCTTTCCCACGTGACAAACTGTGCCTTCTACATCTAAACCACATTTCTTGAGTTCTTCCACAGCTTTTTTAACATTGTTTTCCTTCCTGCTGCTAATTATAACAGAAGCTCCGTTCTGTGCTAGGCGTTTGGCGATAGAGAAACCTATCCCCTCTGTCGAAGCAGTCACGATAGCAGTTTTACCTTTAAGATTCTGTACACTCGACATATTTAGCCTTTTTACTGCTATTAAAGTGCTTACGTTTAAAAAACTAGCAAAATTACGAAACATGTCTGAACTAATCTTGTTTACATTACACAATTAAACTGATAAGAAACTGCCGTATTTCGTACTTCTTCCAATAAAAAAAATAGCCAAGTTTTGTCTTTAACATGTTTTTGTATATTATTTTTTAAAATAATATTAACAAGCATTTTTGAGATTATTTTTTATTGAATATAAAACGTTTTATATATATAAATATTCAAAACTTATATATATATATATATAATCACTATATACATGTATACATGATTCACTCATGTATATAAGTATATTATAGTGTTACAAGCTAATATTAATATATTATTTCCTAAAATTTAATTCTATTGTATAATAAAAGAAATCCTTTGAGACATAATATTTTTCTAAATCATGAAGCGCTTTTCCTGGTAAAGCCGCCTTGTCAAAAGACGGTTTAAGCTATTTCCTCTTTAAGTTAGCCACGGCTATAGACCTAGTGCAGCGAGGTTCACAACAAGGTTTAATTCAAAAGTCAGAAGTTAAGATGGCTGCCACCATAAATTATACGCATATTACGTACTGGTACAGTACCTCAAATGAAAATTGTGACATTCGAAAATCTATTTTAATCCTTTGCGCGTTGGAAGAGCTCTTTAAAATTTCAATTTAATTCTTTTTTTTTTTTTTTTTAACTCTCCATTTACGAGCACTAACAGTCTTTCTTCATACTTATCGTGGGTGGATGGCCGAATGGTTAAGTTTGTCAGCCTACTGCTCAGGAGAATCTGAACGAATCCAGACGAGTTGAAAAACTCCAGGAATCTTTCGGGGACGGTCTGTTCCAGTTATATCGGACCCATCTCTCATATTTTGTAATTGTTAGACGGTTACTTTCCCTTACAATGATAAAAAATGGTATAATAAGGCAATAGACTATCAATACATCTACTTTATTAAATATTAGCGAGGTTGAGGCCTAAGTTTTAAACGCGAAAACGTGTACATCGGACGTTCAGCGCCGCTTTCCTGTAAGTCTAGAAGTTTGACAATGGTGTTTGGATAGTGAGTGGAATCATGCTCGACATTCCAAACACCATTGTCAAACTTCTAGGCTTACAGGAAAGCGGCGCTGAACGTCCGACGTACACGTTTTTGCGTTTAAAACTTCGGCCTCAAACTCGCTGTTACATTTATTGCCATGGCGCGTTTCGGGTATAAAGCCCTTTTCTGTTGGCTAAAAATATACAATTATAAATACTACATTATTAAGATGCTCTTAAAATTTTACGACATATATTCTTGAATTAACATTAAAAAAGCTAATTAAAAAGATAAACTAGTAATATATTCTCTTTAAAATTAATAAATTCAAAATTTTATTGTGAACTATATATGCATTTGATATATTTTTTGTTCTATCTGGTTGTTCACGAAACAATTGTTAGCTATGGAACAAGACGCCCTTTGTTATCGGGCGACACCGGGATTGTTTGTTATCAAGCAACGTTGTAAGGAAATTTCGCTTATTTTCCTATTTCAGGGATCTCCTCCTAAATTTTTAGCAATACCGATTAAAAATTGAGAGAAACAAATTAATAATAATTAGAATTTAAAAAAAATTATCAATTCCACAACATATGAATGAAAAAACGAAGGAATGATCGTATGATCGTCGTTTCCAGTAGCAGCTGTGTTTCTGTAAGAAGCCGACTTCCAGGGGCAATCAGTTACTTCTTTAAATATATTTTTAATAGATTTTTTATCTGACGTAATTAATAAATAAGCAAACAAGTTCAATATAATTACCTCTGTTATCAGATTCAATAGGAGGTGCAGTCACGTGATAAAACGTCATCGCCCCGCCCACCAAAACAATCGTCCGCCATATTGGTTGCTTATTTGACGTTTGCTCGTTCGTTCGTTTATTATGTCAACGTGGAAGAAAGGCATCTTACCTGGTTATGCAGCCGATTTGAAAGATAGTGATTTGATAGAATATAAAGAAAAAAATTCTTTTATTGGATGAGATCCACACGAAATGAAACTAACGGATTTTTCATCTAACGATTTAACCACGTGGCCCACTATAGAACATGGAGACATAGTAAATTATTTAGTTTTAACAACTAATTAGTTAACGCTGTCACACTAGATCAGATGAAGGCATACAAATCATTCGATGCTCATAATTATTTGACAAGTGGATTTATTCATCGAGAAATTTTATCAAGATAAATCGTAATGATTTAATTTTGCTTGTAGGAAAGGTACGTATCTTCATTTCAGACTTTCCATTTCTCATAACATAAACTGCGTTATATAAAGACGAATTTAATTTTATATTTAGTCACATTTTAAGTTGATTAAGTTGTATTTATAATTACCATCAAATTTTTTCTTTTGTCCCCATGGTTTTGTGTTGTGCGAGTCTAACAACCTATTATTAAGATTAAATTAATTAGCCTAATAAACCCTCCTATTTATTATTGCCATATTTATCATATCAGGGACTGACTGGAGCAAAATAGACTAAATTTTTACAAAAAAATAGCCTTTAATTAACCACAATCAAATTTTTAGTAGAATGCATTTCAAGCTTCTCATCAGCATATTTCAGGCACAAAGACCCACATCAGCCTAATACATCCATACAGAGATGCTTGAAATGCATTCTACTAAAAATTTGATTGTGGTTAATTAAAGGCTATTTTTTTGTAAAAGTTTAGTCTATTTTGCTCTAATCAGTCCCTGATTTGATAAATGTGGCTATAATAAATTGGAGGTTTATTAGGCTAATTAGTTTAATCTTAATTTATGTTGTGGGCTAGAAGTGTGATTTAATAACCTATTATTGTTTAAATATATTATTAGAAGTAAATAGCACAGTTTCTTACATTGTTTTTGTACACAGGTTAATTAATCACTCACAAAATCTACGGCAGCCAGCTTCAGTAGTGTGGGTTTTAGCTAAGAAAAATGAAGAGGTGATAACTGGGCATTGCAATTGCATGGCTGGACAATCTTCTTCCTGCTCTCATGTTGGTGTTATTCTTTTTGCCAATGCAGAAGGAATTAAAATAAAGATCTCCCAGACATGTACTGACCGACCAAATAATTGGATAGTGCCACATGTAAAAGATTGTGGTTACAAACCACTACAAAAAATAAACTTTACGTCAGCTGCAACTGCGAGCAAACGGCAATGCCTTGAAGAAAAATATATACAAAAACCTTATTTGTCAAGTGATAAAACTTGGAATACTTGTATAAACAAACCTAGTAAGAGAGAATTTGAACAGTTTTTGAAAAAATTTCTGTTCATAATCCAACTGCTGCAATTTTGTCAGTGATGATGCCAGGTTACTCTAATTCTTTTACAAACCATGTCAATTCATCTTTCCATAAGAACCCACTTACAACTCTATTTGATGCCAAAAAAGCTGCCTTACCCTGGGATCAGCTGTTAAATCACTGCAGGACAGTATTTAAAACTTTTCATCTGACAGATGAAGAAATTGATTTTATTAAAGAAAACAGACTAGCATAGAGTAGAAGCAAGCTGTGGTCTTAAGATCAGATTAGAATAACTGTTTGTTATGAAAAGTGTGTGTAGAGCAGATATAGAGACTCCACCAGTTTCCACTGTATTTTACCAGAGCTAATTGTAAAAAAATTTTCTTCCCAGCCAGCTCTACTCCCACGAAAAGATTCAGAAAATGTATAAATTTTATAGAATAAAATACTTTATTGTACAGCAAATTGTTTAATTTGATGTAAAAATTGCCAGTTTTAAGCAAAAAAATGAAACCCAAAAAAGTATTACAGTATTGAATAAATATTGTAATTCATTTGACTAATATATCAAAATTTATTTATTTATTTTACATATTATTGGAACTTCAGTTGACAAAAGATTTCCACCCCCGAATAACAAATTGTTTTATTTTTATTAAAAGTTATATTAATCAAATGGAATTAAAGCACAACAAATTGTGACAATTTTTTCAATTGTTTGTTACAGAATGTTTAGTTCTAACTGTAAGCATTCAATTGGTAGTGTAATGAATCATAATAAATTAAAATGAAATTTGAAAAAATATGAGTTAGATGACAATATCGAGGTCGGCATTCATTCATTCATTTTAATTTACCAGGAAAAATTTTACAATAGGTGAATATATAGTATACTTAAGACTGACAGAATATCATAAAATAATAATAAGATAAAACTAAAATAACAAAGAAAACAAATATTAAAACAAACAGTAAAGTTTACAAACATATAAATTACATCGAGGTCGACAACCAAACCAACAGCAACCAATATGGCACGCGCTTCGTAAGCGGAGTCGTGTGACGTCACGTGCACTCCCTCTTCTATGCCCTCTAAATGCCAATTCTTGCTTTGATAAAAACATATAACATCTATTAATTTAAATATATCTATTAGCCGTAACTATCTCGTTATAATTTTCAATATTTATTTTATATTATTTACTAATGTTAAATTTTATTCCGCTTCGATTTCCAAATTGCTTCAAATACGAAAGAAACGACGATTTTTCGTGTCTTTTGCCAGCTAAATTGTCAAAGCCGTTCTTATTCCACACACTAATTTCACTCTGTAAATGCATAAAAATGCATTTACAGAGTGAAATTAGTGTGTAAATGCATTTTTATGCATTTACAGAGCCATTTTATCGTGAAAATGTCGAACAAATTTTTTTATTGAAGCGTTTATATTTAACTTAGGCATTGGCCTTTCTCTTTTAAATTAATAATGTTTTCTTTTTCATTACATGATCTCGAGCCAAAACATTTTTAAAATAAATTTTTAATATCGCAATTACATTCTGAATCGCTAGTCACGATATTAGAGCTAAAATTAAAAATAAACTTATGAAAACTTACTTGGTGAAATAAAATGTGTGGTGGATATACATACCTAGTACAAAATATTCTTCAATTGTATACTTTTAAAGAAAATTATAATTAAATATAGCTTTGTAAAGAAAAGTATATAAAAATAACATAAAATCATCTTTACTTTTTAAATCTTAACCACTTAGTCAAATAGCTCCCT